CACTATGGTATTAGAGGGCACTCCCTCAACTACCTCAAGTCATACCTCAGCAACAGAAGCCAATATGTGTACGCAAATGGGGCAAGCTCTTCTGCTCAACCAATTACAGTTGGTGTCCCACAGGGAAGTGTCCTTGGCCCTCTTCTCTTTCTCCTATACATAAATGACCTACCAAATGCTTCGCAATTACTCAAACCCACACTTTTTGCAGATGACACTACATACGTCTTCTCTCACCCGAGCCCAGTCACGCTAGCCAATACTGTAAACACCGAATTACAGAAAATATCTACCTGGATGAGGACTAACAAACTTACACTAAACATTGACAAAACCTACTTCATTCAGTTTGGTGACAGAGCTACAGATGTCCCTCTTAACATAATTATAAACAGATCACCTATCACAAAGCTAACAGAGGGAAAATTCTTAGGAATCCACCTTGATAATAGACTCAAATTTCATACACATATACAACAAATTTCTAAGAAAATTTCCAAAACCGTAGGCATACTATCGAAGATACGGTACTATGTTCCACAGTCAGCCCTCCTGGCCCTATATTACTCTCTTATTTACCCCTATCTCACCTATGGAATTTGTGTATGGGGCTCAACAACAATTAACCATCTCAGACCACTAATTACCCAACAAAAGGCTGCAGTCAGAATGATAACAAATTCCCACTACAGGCAGCACACTCCACCAATATTCAAAACACTAAACCTACTCACCATACAAAACATCCATACTTATTACTACACCTATTACATACATAGAACACTTAAATCTGATATTAACCCTCCCCTCAAACATCTCTTTGCCAACCTCAACAGAACACATGACCATAACACAAGGCACAGATCACTCTTTGATGTTCCTCGTGTCCATCTCACGCTATGCAAAAACTCAGTGCACATAAAAGGCCCTAAAATCTGGAATTCATTACCTGTAAATGTAAAAGAAACACTACCTGTTTATAAATTCAAGTCTCTTCTCAAAGATCACTTACTCACCCAAAACCAAATAAATACTGAATAACTGAACCTTATAAATTGTATATCTTAAATGTTTCTCATAATTATATCACATAAATGTTAAACCTAAGACCCAATCTAACTTTGTTATTTTTTTAAATACACTACCTAACAGAATACTCCATTCTACTGAATGCACAGCAATGCATGCAACCATATGACCTGTCTTTGTAATACTCATTTGTGCTTTATTGTTATCTGTTTACAATAATGTTTTATCACTGATTATATCATTGCTTAGTTAATCTTAAGTTAATTTTAAGCCTGCCCGTAATGCTATGCATACAAGTGGCTTTGGCATGCTGCTCTTACCTGTATTTTTTTGTACCTCTGTATGTTCAAATTATTAAATAAATAAATAAATAAATAATATCGGCGCACTTGTGAAAGATTATTGGACTCACCAGTTTCGTGTATTGGACGCTTAGCATTCGTTTACTTTTGAACTTTGGTAAAAATCGAACATTTCTGCTACCTTGAGCTCAATTTCAAGGTACTTTTCATTGTAAAATCAGTCAAAATCATCTCAATTTCTGTAATATGTCTTCCATTCTATAGAATGAGACCAAGAAAACTAGAATACAACAATAAATACCATACGAAAATATAGTGCAAAGTCGCTGTTTTAATCCAAAAACACGGTCAAAGTTTTTTTTTTTTCTTATTACCCACTGTGTGCTGCAGGATTTTTTTTATACTGTGCACACTGACCACATAGACCCATTCTTTCATATGTAGGCCTACCAGCTTTCTCTCACTAGATTTGAGGGCGCTAGAATTTAGGCATACTAGTACGTCAGAAACGCTGGTGCGTAAGCCGTACTAGTATAGCCAAAACCCTGAAAGAGTTAATAGGTTTCATTCAATTATGGTTATATTTGTGTCATCCATCAACATCAAAAACAGATACTAACGTTGAAAAAATAAAGCAGTCATCCCCCACCCTTCTTACTCCCCAGATCTATATCCCCCTGTTACTTCTTTCTCTTCCTAAAAATAAAACTGGCACTCAATGGGCAGTGGTTTAATGACATGGAGAAGATTCAAGCAAAATTGCAGGCTGTTAGGAAAGAAGAGTACGAGAAATGTTTAAAGAAGCGGCAGAGTTACTGGGATCAGTGTATAACCTCTGAAGGAGAGCACTTTGAAGGAAACAACTTGAACTTGGAACTTTTTGATTGCACCTCATATATTGTTCTAACATAAATGAAAAAAATTCAAAATTTTGCAATACATTTTGTGCAGTCTTAAGATTAAGCATACACTAAAATAGTTATAGGATAGGTAGATTACATAAACATTCATGAAAAATTATGTGGAGAGTTAATTTTGGTAAATGTGTCTTCTTCTTTGGGTCACCTTGTCTTTGCATGAGATGGATGTTGAGTTAAAAAAAATAAGTACAATGATTATTCTAAGTAAATGTAATAACTCTTGATTGTCAAAACAGATATGAAGGTAAAAACTTAATATATAATGACTATTCTAAGTAATAACTCATAAGAACATAAAGAAGGAGCACTGCAACAGGCCTACTGACCCATGCGAAGCAGGTCCATGCTACCTCCCGGCCTAGAACAATGACCACCTAGTCAGGTCACTTCCACTTAAGGAAGGAGCACGGCACCAGACCTGGTAGCCCAAGCTAGTCAGGTCCAACTCACACCCACTCATGTATTTATCCAACCTATTTTTAAAACTACACAAGGTCTTAGCGTCTATGACGGTACTTGGGAGTTTGTTCCACTCATCCACAACTCTATTACCAGGCCAGTGCTTTCCTATGTCCTTCCTGAATCTGAATTTTTCCAACTTGAAACCACTGCTGCGAGTCCTGTCTTGGCTGGATATTTTCAGCACGCTATTTACATCCCCTTTATTTATTCCTGTTTTCCATTTATACACCTCAGTCATATCCCCCCTAATTCTATGCCTTTCTAGAGAATGCAAATTCAGGGATACATGGGATCAACTTTGTCATCCTCCTCTGTATGTTTTCCAGTGCATTTATATCCATTCTGTAATATGGTGACCAGAACTGTGCAGCATAATCTAGATGAGGCCTAACCAAGGATATATTGAGTTGAAAAACAACCTGAAGACTTCTGTTATATATACCTCTAGATATGAAGTCAAGGATTCTGTTAGCTTTATTGCGAACACTTATGCACTGTTGTCTTGGTTTCAGATTACTGCTAACCAGAACTCCTAAATCCTTTTTGCAATCAGTAGTATTAAGATCTACACTTTTCAATTTATGAGTGGCATGGTTATTGTCCAGTCCAACATTTAGCACTTTGCATTTGTCCATATTAAACTGCATCTGCCACTTCTCTGACCACTGCATCAGTCTATTCAAATCATCCTGAAGTGCACTAATGTCCTCAATAGAATGAATTGGACAGCCTATTTTGGTGTCATCAGCATAGCTCTTAATTGTTACAATAGATTAGGATGTAAAGTATTAAATACCATTTTGTGCAAAAACTCTTTGATTTTTATGAAAACTTGTCAGGATGAAGAGTTGTAACAAATGGTACAGTTTAAGAGTTTTGGAGAGTAGTGGAGACCAGAGGTATATGATGATCAGTATTGAACACTAATCAACAGACAAGGTTTAACATATGTTTGATGTCCACTGCATTTAGGGTTGAGCTGTATGAAGTTTTTTTTTTTTTTTCAACAAACCGGCCATATCCCACTGAGGCAGGGTGTCCTTAAAAAAACTTCAATTTTTCTTTTTAAATTTAGTAATTTATACAGGAGAAGAGGTTACTAGCCCCTTGCTCTGGGCATTTTAGTTGCATCTTACGACATGCATTTACACGAAGTCATGGCTTAATAAAACTTAACTTGAATAAAATTTAGTCCCAGTACAAGCTTTTGTATAATGTGCATTTATACTCATTATTGACTGACAGTCAGCCATCCATGATACCTGAGGAGTATGTTAATGTTTTTATTTCCTTTGATATTTGTAGGATTTATAGTTTTTTTTAAATCATAGATGTGAATATATTCAAAATATATTCACAAAATAATAACAGGGGAAGTTGAAAGAGGAGTTATCATTCAACTCCCCCTGTGGGTATTTAGCATCTTTCATCACTTGTTCATGATTATTGCATATTCAGTATATGATAATTTGAGTTAAAGACTGTTTTAATGTCAGTAGACTTCCTATGATATCTAGAATCCTCCCTAAATTTTACTTAGCATATTTCACTGCTTATTAGGCGCATTTTTTTTTTCCATAAAATGTCTCCAAAAACTACTCTGCATCCTATAAACTGAAGGTCAGTTATGGGAGCTATAAGTTTGGGGTGTGGGGTGGGCTGTAGCTCTCCCAGTTGCATCCAATGCCGAGCCATTGAAACTAAAACAAGTCTTATAAGCAGTGTCTTGTAAGCTGCAAAATGCGGTAAATTCATTTTAAGTGTAAGACAGTACAATAATTTCACTACAACTTTGGTCTTTGTGTTTAGGATAGCATATAAACTTAATTTTTTGACAGAATGTTACATGCTTTCAGCAGTTGTATTTCTACGCAGGTATGTGCCTTACTTTTCTATGACTGAAATTAACATTTGGTAAGTAGGTTTCTGAAATGTTTGTAAAAGATTACCATATCTTGTCCAGATTATTATAATCAATGTTTATTGCCAAATATATTTATTGCTTGTTTATTAAAGTACAGTATACAGTATTAACTCCGTGGGGAATTGGAGAAGAATTCTTCCTCCATAAACCATGCGTGTTGTAAGAGGCGACTAAAATGCCAGGAGCAAGGGGCTAGTAACCCCCTTCTCCTGTATAAAAAAAGAAAAAACCTCAGTTTTTTATTTTAGGTTACCCTGCCTCAGTTGGATACAGCTGGTTCATTGGAAAAAAAAAGAAGAAAAAGAGAAAACAGCATTAAACCAAAATAAAATTATGAATTTTAATTTTTAATTTTTTCTTCAGGGCCTGGTTTACACCGTGTGATCACTCCAGATGTGCGAATGTTGACCAACAAAATAAATGACCATAACACTTCACAGTGCAGAAATATGAATAATCCCCAACACAATGCTTTAGGCCTTAGACCAGTAGGAGGACCTTTATTCAGACCAGTTGGACCAGCTCCCAGGCCTGCAGGATCTATTTCAAGACCAGTAGGACCTGCCCCCAGACCAGTAGGACCTGTCTTTAGACCTGCAAGTCCTGCTGGAGTACCGCCTAGACCCCGTGGACCAGCTCCTGTACCACCTGGCCTGCAAGATTTCCCACCTCATTTGAATGATCCAATAGATTCTCCAGTGATGCGCCTTCCATTCACAGGAAATCCTCCAGTTAGATTCAATTCATCAAGTACTCCAAATCCCCCTATGCAGCCTCCTCCACCACCTTCTGATCCACCACCTGCTAATCAGCCTACCATTGGAAATACGCAATATTATTGTAACACAGGTTCGATACGCCCAATTGTGCCATTACCAAGGCCACCAATAGAAAAACCAAAGCCAAAAGTGCCACAAGTTCGGGCTCTATATAGGTAAGTTTAATTTTCTGAGCACTATTTAAATGTAAGCTTGAGTTATAATATACTGTACATGTTATATGTATTTACTTATCAGACAGCATCTCTTAGTAGCTTTAAGGAGTACATGAAGACTTTTAGATTTCACAAGGTCTCTCTACTTTGCTTGAGGATTTTATCTAGGTAAATTTTGAACTCTTAGTATAGTCTATACAGTAGGACCCCGCTTTATGGCGTTTCGCTTTACGATGTTCCGCTAATACGGTCATTTCAAATTATGACCTAAACTCTCTATACGGCTCCCCCACCTGACTTTCTAATATGGTCACCGCACCCCACCCTGTTTGTTTACATTCTCCATGAGCTCCGTAAGCACCATGTCTCTCCATTGTGTCTGGAAACTCCAAAATTTCAAGTGTTTTTAAAAGTTATTTCATATTTTATATGTACTCTGATAATTATACTTATATATACCTGTACCTAAATAAACTTACACACTGTGCTGGCATGCAGGTACACATTAAAATCAGTAAGAGTGTCTTATATCTCGAGATGCCATATTAGTAATGATAATAATACTCAATAATAATAATTGAGTCTCATTCAAATGTCATATATTGCGTTAATATACACATTTTCATTAATCCATGATATGTATGATATTTTTTCAAAATTATATAATAAACATGATACATAACATATAAAAATGATAAATACACTAAATATGAGATGTGGGAGCCAGATGACTTATACGAGTGACGCCATATTAGTAATAATAATAATAATCACCGAGTCTCATTAAATGTCATATATTACATTAATATACACATTTTTATTAATCCAGCTATGATATTTTTTTCAAAATTATATAATAAATATGATACATAACATATAAAGATGATAAATACACCCCACAGTAGAATAAATAAACATAAATATGAGATGTGGGAGCCAGACAACTTTTACAAGTGACGGCAAGAATAACGTTTTCTCTAGTCCAACATAAGAGAAAATGTGTTACTGGGGGTAACTGTAGAAAATTATTCCTTTCGTATGCCTTCACTCAGAGCATCATTTATTCTAAAAAATGATGGTACACGAGAATGGGAGTGTTCCTCTTTACTTATTCTACCGTATCAACATAGAGACAACTTGTACACAATGTAACTTGTACAGAAACCAGACATGTACACTTTGTGTGTTTACATAACTCACGTTTGCCTGGTTTGTTTACATAACTCCATGAGTGTCCTCTCTCATGTACTCACTCACTCTCTCACTCTCTCTCTCACTCTCTCTCTCACTCTCTCTCTCACTCTCTCTCTCTCTCTCTCTCTCACTCTCACTCTCACTCTCTCTCTCTCTCTCTCTCTCATTTATTTGTTTTATCTCATTTACTCACCTCTGACCCTACATTAAATTAAGACTACAAATATTTTAAGGTAAGTAATGAGTGTACTATATGTGTATTTTACTTTTTTATTGTTTTTTAATGCCTAGTTCTACTAACCCCAATGGAAATAAGTCACACAGTCTGACTTTTTTGGGTTATCCTAGGTACTTTACACATATGCTGCTATGTATGATAATCTATGTGACTGCATTTGTGTATATCTGAATAAACTTACTTACTAACTTAATATATGTTAGTGTAAACTTGTTATCTAGTACAGTGGACCCCCGGATAACGATATTTTTTCATTCCAGAAGTATGTTCAGGTGCCAGTACTGACCGAATTTGTTCCCATAAGGAATATTGTGAAGTAGATTAGTCCATTTCAAACCCCCAAACATACACGTACAAATGCACTTACATAAATACACTTACATAACTGGTCGCATTGGGAGGTGATCGTTAAGCGGGGGTCCACTGTATTTGTATGCATTTATAAGTGGAAAAAAAAGGTGTTCCACTTTACGGCGATTTTCGCTTTACAGCGGTAGCCTGGAACCTAACCTGCCATATAAGTAGGGCCCTACTGTACTTCAACAGTTTTGGTAAGTAAACTATATCATGGGTTTATTATTCTCTTGGAAATTGTTTGCTAATGTCGCTCCTGCAGTGAAATATGGCAAGATTAAAGGTGCTCCTTTTTGTATTTGTTTTTAAAAAATACATAGCAGTGATATGAGAGATAATATGTTTAACCCTTTCACCGTTGGTGCCTTAGTACTATGGCTTACAAGCCAGTGTTGGTGCTGTAGTGCTACGCCAAAATTCTACCGGCTTCTGATCTAGCAGGACAAAGCTAGTAGACCTACATATGAGAGAATGGGTCTAAGTGGTCATTTTTTTTTTTTTTTTCAACAAGTCGGCCGTCTCCCACCGAGGCAGGGTGACCCAAAAAAGAAAGAAAATCCCCAAAAAGAAAATACTTTCATCATCATTCAACACTTTCACCACACTCACACATTATCACTGTTTTTGCAGAGGTGTCTCAGAATACAACAGTTTAGAAGCATATACGTATAAAGATACACAACATATCCCTCCAAACTGCCAATATCCCAAACCCCTCCTTTAAAGTGCAGGCATTGTACTTCCCATTTCCAGGACTCAAGTCCGACTATATGAAAATAACCGGTTTCCCTGAATTCCTTCACTAAATATTACCCTGCTCACACTCCAACAGATCGTCAGGTCCCAAGTATCATTCGTCTCCATTCACTCCTATCTAACATGCTCATGCACGCTTGCTGGAAGTCTAAACCCCTCGCCCACAAAACCTCCTTTACCCCCTCTCTCCAACCCTTTCGAGGACGACCCCTACCCCTTCTTCCTTCCCCTATAGATTTATATGCTTTCCATGTCATTCTACTTTGATCCATTCTCTCTAAATGACCAAACCACCTCAACAACCCCTCTTCTGCCCTCTGACTAATGCTTTTATTAACTCCACACCTTCTCCTAATTTCCACACTCTGAATTTTCTGCCCTTAGACAGGACATCTCCACTGCCTCCAACCATCTCCTCGCTGCTGCATTTACCACCCAAGCTTCACATCCATATAAGAGTGTTGGTACCACTATACTTTCATACATTCCCTTCTTTGCCTCCATAGATAGCGTTTTTTGACTCCACATATACCTCAACGCACCACTCACCTTTTTTCCCTCATCAATTATATGATTAGCCTCATCCTTATAAATCCATCTGCCGGCATGTCAACTCCCAAGTACAGTGGACCCCCGCATACCGTTGGCATCACATAACGTTAAATCCGCATACCGATACATTTTATCGCAAAGATTTTGCCTCGCATACCGTTAAAAAACCCGCTCAACGCTATTTGTCCGAGACGCGTCTATGTGCGGCCTGAGCCAGCCTCACATGTTCCGCCGGTGGCATTATTTACAAGCCAGCCTCCGCGGTAACATCCAAGCATACAGTCGGAACATTTCGTACTATTACAGTGTTTTTGGTGATTTTATCTGCAAAATAAGTGACCATGGGCCCCAAGAAACTTCTAGTGCCAACCCTGTCTTAAAAAGGGTGAGAAATATTATCGAAATACTGTGGTACCATGGTCAACTGCTGATGCTGCTGCTGCTGTAGCACTGTTAGCTGCTGCTGCTGCTGTAGCACCGTCAGCTGCTGCTGCTGCTGTACCACCATCAGCTGCTGCTGTAGTACCGTCTGCTGCTGCTGTAGCACTGTCAGCTGCTGCTGTAGCACTGTCTGCTGCTGCTGCACTGCCAGCTGCTGCTGCTGCTGTAGCACCGTCAGCTGCTGCTGCTGCTGTAGTACCGTCAGCTGCTGCTGTAGCACCGTCTGTTGCTGCTGTAGCACCGTCTGTTGCTGCTGTAGCACTGTCAGCTGCTGCTGCTGCTGCTGTAGCACCGTTGTTGGTGTGGCTTATTGAGAATACCAAGAAACAATTAACCCCAGAGGGTTAGCCACCCAGGATAACCCAAAAAAGTCAGTGTCATTGAAGACTTCTAACTTATTTCCATTGGGGTCCTTAATCTTGTCTCCCAGGATGCAACCCACACCAGTCGACTAACACCCACGTGAACAGGGAAAAATGCCTGGAACTAGTGCTCATATTGGTGAATTTAAAGCCAGGAAAGGTTGGTTTGAGAGATTTAAGAATCGTAGTGGCATACACAGTGTGATAAGGCCTGTTCTGGAAGAAAATGTCAAACAGGACCTACAGTACTCAGGAGGAAAAGGCACTCCCAGGACACAGTGTCTCATCAGTCATTGCTGCATCTTCAATAAAGGTAAGTGTCATTTATTCTTCATTTAGTAGAGTAGTACATGCACAATATATATTGTGCATGTACTACTCTACTATTGTGCATGTATCCTTCTCTTTGTGTGTAGGAAAATGTATATTTCATGTGGTAAAAAAATTTTTTCATACTTTTGGGTGTCTTGCACGGATTAATTTGATTTCCATTATTTCTTATGGGGAAAATTCATTCGCATAACGATAATTTCGCATAACAATGAGCTCTCAGGAATGGATTCACTTCTTCCATACTCCTCCCCAATTTGATATCCAATTTTTCTTTATCTAAATCATTTGATACCCTCATCACCTTATTTTTCTATGCTCACTTTCAACTTTCTACCTTTACACACATTCCCAAAGTCATCCACTAACCTTTGCAATTTTTCTTTAGAATCTCCCATAAGCACAGTATCATCAGCAAAAAGTAACTGTCAATTCCCATTTTGAATTTGATTCCCCATAATTTAATCCCACCCCTCTCCCGAACACCCTAGCATTTACTTCTTTTACAACCCCATCTATAAATATATTAAACAACCATGGTGACATTACACATCCCTGTCTAAGACCTACTTTTACTGGGAAGTATTCTCCCTCTCTTCTACACACCCTAACCTGAGCCTCACTATCCTCATAAAAACTCTTAACAGCATTTAGTAACTTACTACCTAATCCATATACTTGCAACATCTGCCACATTGCTCCTCTATCCACTCTTTCATATGCCTTTTCTAAATCCATAAATGCAATAAAAACTTCCCTACCTTTATCTAAAT